GGTGTCCTATCCTTTCGTAGTCCTTGATAGCTCGTTACTCGTATGTTCTCCTATTGTCCTATCCTTGCGTAGCTCCAATAGTTCCATCCGGGTATGTGCTCCTGTAGCTTTACTCTAAAAACATAGAATGGAGGGGGTTGAGTACATAAAGTATTCAGCAAGCCCTAAACTTTGGGTTTGGAGGAGAGATGGAAAGGGAAGGCTATAAGTAGAGGGGGGTTATGATGGTTGAGGTGAAAGTGGTAGGTTGAAGCAATTATAGGTTGGATCCTGGTAGAGTATTTACCATTCTCACCTGTTTTCGGTTTAATTATAGTTTACCAAATTAGTAAAATACATCTTACTAGATTATCACAATTATAGAAGTCTAATCATAGTATCTCATCCCAGCATTTGCCCATTCCAAGGACGTGGCTATTTGAATAGATTCAATAAACTATGTAGAGGTGTACAAATTTTCCCACATCATAGACACAACTCCAAACCATGCGCGGTGGCAAGAACAGGTCTAACGAGACCCCGTACCCGCTTGGGTGCTACCCTAGATTTCCATATAACTCTAACGTGGCTTCTCAGGGGTTGGAAAACACACTAAACTCAGGAGGATACCAAATCATTCCATCTCATAATCTCATATGATACCACATCACCCCATCATATAATCTCGGACGATATAACATCATCCCAACATAATAGTGCTGATGATACCAAATCATCAAAATAAACAATAATAATCATGGGCTCGAACGTGGCAAAAAACTCAAGGGCTTAACGTGGAAGATCACATAGCAACCATGCCAACCGGATCATGGAAGATCACATAGCATCCATGTTTGCTCCTGATATTCTGCTGCCAACACCGTCCTCCTAGTAGAAATTATACTTCAATCTAACGGGGTGTGAGATCAAGTCTGCCCATATCAGATATGTGGTTGTACGAAATATCTCACTAGGTGAGAGGGACTACGAACCAGTCCTTATGTGACCGAGGCGAATATCTCCCATAGGAACCCTCACCAGGCGTTCCTGCCAAGGTAATCTATCCCCACATAAATTATCCCCCACTCGCCCCTTGTCGGGGTTTAGTCCAGTTTTACCAGTTTAAGTTCCATAGTTATTAACCTCAGGTTCATAGAGCTCATCTCATATCAAGGTAACCATTACCTTATCATTATTGATCACATTAACATAGCCGAGCTCATGACCCATTATAATTCCATTAATTCATAAAAGAGAATTTAGTAATATAAGTTAAGTTTATTATTTGGTGGAGATGGAGGGTGGAGGGTTTATGGTGGAGGCTAGCAAAATATGGTGGTGGTGGAAAGGGAGGTGATTAAGGAGTGGCATGTAATGTAGGGGGAAAGGAATAGGTGGATGTTAGGACTTGCCTCCATTCGCTGACGATTATATCCTTGTCCGATTCCTGTGTCTCCTGTTTCTGTCTTCTAGACTCCATCAGGTTCTCTCCACGTCTTCTATCCTATGCGGTCTAGCATCGCCAGGCAAGAAACATAAATAAGGAAAATAACAAGCAAGGCGTGTAAAACAAGCATAGGCAACCAACGTGCAGGTAATGATCCTAGATGGGTTGATCCTATTAGGTGATGGGTTATTAACTAAGGTTATCACTGTTACGTCAATCTAAAGTAAGGTTTGGATAGATGTATTCTATCCATATGGTAAGGCTGGTCAGGTTAAGGCGGGAGGTTGGTCTGATGAAAAACCAGACCACATTATTATTAGGATTCACTATTATGTGAACCTGAAAGAGAAAGTCTGACCAAGTCATCATAGATGACTCATCTGGCTTCTACCGGTCCACTGGGGTTAGTGGCACATACGCACATGCATATGTATGTGCCTCGGGTTAGCCAGGTTAGGGAAGTGGCGGAAGATAAAGTTAGCCATACATAAGCGTATACCCGGGTATCGGGCATATCCGTGTCTATATATATATATATATATATATATATGGGCGTCTACTATTTTAGGTGATGGGGTATGGATATATTCGAGTATGTGTCATGGTATATACACATACGCGACTACTACTTCAGTGGTGGTCTACTGCTACAATTCATATTTAAATTAAATATAGGAAAGGAAACCAATCAAACTAGAATTTACATTGGCACCAAATAATGGAACAAGGTTATGAATGAGTAGAGCTTGATTTTAGAAGAATTTTGGTGGAAGAATCAAATGATTTGGAGTTAGGATGGAAAAGATATGATTTATCAAGGATTTAATATGAAGGGAATATGTGGAGTATAAGCTTGGGAATTAATTCTGGAAATTGGGATAATGGAAATGGGATATAAATGCTTGGGTAGGATCTGGGGTGTACCTAGTTTATTTATGAATTTTCTGAGAATTTTTCCATGCATGGAAATGGGTTTTGTAATTTCCCATTTACACTTCCCGGGTGCACAAAGCAATTTCTACCGGGCTGACGCGTGGGTTCCATCACCCGTTAGGGCCGATTGGCGCTGGTCCACACTGTGCGGTGCACCGATCGGTGGACTATGGCTCATCCTCCCTTTGGTCTACGTAGTCCGTGCCCACAGAAGAAAGGAGGGAGGGAGATGGTTTGCTGTGGCTGACGTGCGGGACCCGCGAGAGGAGGTGGCGCATCGCCACTGGCTCGCAAGAGGCATCGGATGCCCTTGGCCCGACTTCTTCACTTTGACCGAGCGCGGCAGGACATGGAGGCGAGGCGAGTGGGAAGAGGGGGAGAGAAATAGGAGGAGGGAGAGAGTGGAGCGGGGCGGTAGGGAGGCGCCAGCGGCGATCACGACAGCAGCGTGGATAGGTGAGGGTGCAGCAAGGGTGAGCAAGGGGTGGCGGGCGGCTCTGGTGGTGGCGAGCCGACCTGTCACTGAGCGACGTCGGTGTCCTAGGCGTGGAGCTAGCCGAAGCTCCGATGCTGCTGGCCGAGGTAGCTGGGCAACATTCGGCGTGTGGGCGATGAAGAGCAGGAAGGAGGAGAAGGAGGAGGATGAGGCAAGGCGGCGGCAAGCGAGAAGGAGCGAGCAGAGTAGGGGAATGGGAGGAGCAGGGGTGAGGCGGAGGCGACTGAGCTCGGGCGGAAGGAAGGAGGAGGGCTGGTGCCCGAGCTCAAGGGCAAGGCTTGGCGCCGGCCATGCTCGGCTATATATAGCCGGAGTAGGTCAGTTCCAGGCAAAAATATCTCTGGCGAGTAAGCCCACGTGCTCGCGGTGGCAAGCGAGGTGGAGGTGAGCTGTCGACGGAATTCACGGGGAGGGGATAAGGATGGCGGGAAGACGACCATGGAGAAGGGCGGTTGTGGGGGAAAATATCTCTGACAGCTGTGCTCCTCGTGCTCGAATGTGGTGGGCGCGGCGTACAGGGAAGGACACGGTATTCCCGTCGTCGAGCTCCTGGGGAAGACGAAGCTGACGCATGGGCCCCACATGTAAGTGAGGGGAGAGAAGGGAAGGAGGAGGAGGCGGGCTGCTTCTTGCTGCTGGGATGGTCCGGCGGTGCCGGCCCACGGCAGGAGGGGGAGGGAGGTGCGCTCGGGGTTGGGCCAAGCGGCCGGGGTGGCCCAAGAGGAGGGGGAGAGGGAAAGAAGGGGAGGAGGGAGTGCGGGCCGTAGCATGCGGGGTTGGGCAGGGTCCGCGAAGAGAGGGGATGGTTTGAGCCCAGAAATCCTTTTCCACTTCCAAAATGCTTTCTTAATTTCTAGAAAATAAACTAGGGTATATTTGTGATGAATATAAATGGAAAAGCAATGCGATTTGGTGGATGGGTGGTTGGGGTAATTCAAGGAAGATCAAGGAATGCATTTGGTGGGAGATGTTAAAGGGGAGTAGTCAAGGAGATTATTATTTGGTGCCAAAATAAATTCTAGGCAACCACTCATGAGAGCAAACAATTCAAGCATCGAGCAATCAAGCAAACATTCAGGCATTCAAGCAATCACGCAAGCATTCAAGTCATTCCAATATTCTAACCTAATGCATATGGTGAGTTTTGATGCAAGGATTTTGGAAAACATTTTATTTAAAAGGTGGTTTTGCAGGAAGTAAACTAATCAAGTTTTAATTTGTTGTAAAGTTTTAAAAAGTTCAAATTTTTAGTGGTTTTTAATATGCTGCAAAAACATGGGTGTTGTATTTGGGTTCTTGTCTCGTATTTTCTTCTTAATATAATGAAGCGTAGCTCTCCTGCGTTTTAAAGAAAAAAAATTATGACATGTCATTATTAAAAAAATATCCTCTCAAATCCACATCTAAATTATCAACATATACTACATGAAGAAGAATTATTACTATATATGCTAAAATAATGGTTTATTCCGTCGTATTTAAGAGTGCAGTCTATGATCTAAATTTTTTAACAAGATACAAAAAAAGTTTTTTAAAAAAATGAGAAATTAAGCACAAGAATTTCAACTTAACTCGAGGATGACAAATGTGTAGCAACTAATAAGGTCAAATTTTGAAAATCGTTTGTTTGAGTTTAATGAGAAGCTGAAAAAAAAACATCTCTGGCAAAAGCTATAAATAAGTTTATTTTTAAGAAACGATTTTTTTTAGAAAATGTTTGCTTTTTACGCAAATACCTAACTTTCCAACTTGCTTCTCAAAAAAGTCTTTCTTTAATCGATTACCATTGCTCACGTGTCATGTGGATGTGATGAAAAAAAAGTAAAAAGAAAAAAAGAAACACTACAAGACACACGCAGAGCAATTGCGCGCCCACCGTTTTCAGATTTGAGACCTGTACACATACTCCACGTCGCCGGCGCCCGGCGCCCAACCCGCGCTCCCCCACGCCGTCGCCACCGCCGCCGACGCCGTGTTCCAGCTCTACGCTATACAGTCACGTCCTCCAGCACTCGCGGCTCCGCCCACCTTACGTAAGCTGTTCTGCTTCATCGATCCCGGGGGCGGACGCCGGCACGCCGTGCGCACGGGCCGTCCGTGCCTCTCCGCGCCGGTCCAGTAGCTGCGCGCGCGCCCTCCGTTGGCATGTCCCGCCGTGCGAGCGCAGTCCGCGACCGGTGCTTGGAGCTGGAGCGCGTCATCGCGGGACAAGCAAGGTCGGGGAGCCTCGGCCTCAAGGACGCGCTCAAGCTGTTCGAGGAATTGCTGCCCAACGCCAGGCCCACCTCGGTTCGTGCTTTCAACAGCCTGCTTAACGTCGTCTCTCGCGCCCAATGCCCTTCAGCCTCCGAGCTCGCTGTCTCCCTCTTCAACAGGATGGCCCATTCTTGCTGCAACAAGGTGCGTCCAGACCTGTACACATACAGCATCCTCATTGGTTGTTTCTGTCGCATGGGTCGCCTGGAGCATGGCTTCTCTGTCTTTGGCCTCATCATTAAGACGGGATGGAGGGTGGATGATGTAGTCATCAATCAACTGCTCAAGGGCCTCTGTGATGTGAAGAGGGTGGGTGAGGCCATGGACATATTGCTCCGAAGAATGCCTGAGTTTGGCTGCAGGCCGGACATAGTTTCCTGCAACACGCTTCTCAAGGGTTTCTGCAATGAAAAGAGAGTTGAGGAGGCACTTGATCTGCTGCACACGATGGCTGATGATGGAGATCGAAGCTGCACACCAGATGTTGTGACATACAACACGGTCATTGATGGCATGTGCAAAGCTCATGCAGTTGACAGGGCTGAGGGTGTCCTTCAGCAGATGATTGATAAAGGTGTTAAGCCAGACATCCAGACATATAACTGTCTGATCCATGGATACCTCTCTATAGGACAGTGGAAAGAAGTGGTTCAAAGGCTCGAAGAAATGTACGCACGTGGTCTTCACCCAAATGTTGTGACATACAACACGGTCATTGATGGCCTGTGCAAAGCTCATGCAGTTGACTGGGCTGAGGGTGTCCTTCAGCAAATGATTGATAAAGGTGTTAAGCCAGACATCCAGACATATACCTGTCTGATCCATGGATACCTCTCTACAGGACAGTGGAAAGAAGTGGTTCAAAGGCTCGAAGAAATGTACGCACATGGTCTTCACCCAAATGTTGTTACTTATGGTTTGCTGCTGGACTATTTATGCAAGAATGGAAAATGCACAGAAGCCAGGAAGATTTTTGATTCTATGATTAGGAAGGGCATAAAACCTAATGTAACTATCTACGGCATTCTTCTTCACGGGTATGCTGCTGAAGGAGCCCTTGCTGATTTCCCTGATTTCCTAGATTTGATGGTAGCAAATGGTATTTCACCTGATCATTACATCTTCAACACTGTGTTCTGTGCATATGCTAAAAAGGCAATGATAGATGAGGCGATGCATATACTTAGCAAAATGAGGCAGCAAGGATTGAGTCCTAATGTAGTCACTTATGGAACATTAATAGATGCACTTTGTAAGATGGGAAGAGTGGATGATGCTGTGCTTAAATTCAACCAGATGATCGATGAAGGGGTGACTCCTAACATTGTTGTTTTTAACTCCCTGATTTATGGACTCTGCACTGTTGACAGATGGGAGAAGGCTGAGGAATTATTTTTTGAAATGTTGGATCAAGAAATCCGTCCTGACATCGTGTCCTTCAACACCATAATGTCTAACTTATGTAAAGAAGGACGGGTCATGGAAGCCCAGAGTGTGATTGACTTGATGGAACGTGTAGGCGTGAGGCCTAACGTTATCTCATATACTACATTAATAGGTGGCCACTGCTTAGCTGGTAGAACTGATGAAGCAGCAAAGTTACTTGATAGTATGGTCTCAGTTGGCTTGAAACCGAACATTTTGTGCTATGATGCATTGCTTCGCGGCTACTGTAAAACTGGCAGGATAGACAATGCATATTGTCTTTTCCGAGAAATGTTGAGGAAGCAAGTTACGCCTGGAGCTGTGACTTACAGCACCATACTGCATGGTTTATTTCAGACTCGGAGATTTTCTGAAGCAAAGGAACTCTACCAAAATATGATTAAAACTGGGAAACAGTGGGGGATTTACACATACAACATAATTCTAAATGGGCTTTGCAAAAATAATTGTGTTGATGAAGCATTTGAAATGTTCCAGAGTCTGTGTTCTAAGGATATTCATCCTGACATTGTTACTTTCAATATTATGATTGGTTGTTTGCTTAAAAGTGGCAGAAAGAAAGATGCCATGGATTTGTTCGCTGCTATCCCTGCCCATGGTTTAGTTCTGGATGTGGTGACCTATCGCTTAATGATGGAAAATCTCATACAAGAAGGGCTGCTAGATGAGTTTGACAATTTGTTTTTAGCAATGGAAAAGAGTGGATGCACTCCAAACTCATACATGCTAAATGGTATAGTTAGGAGGCTGCTGGGTGGAGGTGACATAATGAGGGCTGGGGCTTACCTCTCCAAAATTGATGAAATGAACTTCTCACTTGAGGCTTCCACTACTTCCTTGCTAATATCATTTTTCTCGAGGGAGGAATATAAGAACCTTGCAAAGTCCCTACCTGAGAAGTACCATTTTCTTGAGGAGGTCAACAAATGAGCATTATGACAAACAAAATAAATCCTCAGCTGAGTGGTAACGTCTACCTCATGCTCTAATTTGCTAGCCATGTTGTGTTGTCACATTTGTTTGATGAAATTCTCTAGGGAAGTTTTGTACTGTCAGTGCATGCCAGCATCCCGTTAATCTCGTATAAAGTTGTCTTCAGCCCTAGTTATCTTTACAGTGGGAATCAATTTTCAAACTGTTGGGAGCACATAAGTTTCTTCATTAAGTTGCTTAGTTTGTAAGATATCCATAATTAATTGAAGTTAAATATTAGTAGTAGTATTTTGTTCCTTTTATTTATTATATATATAATTATTTATTGCTAATCCATTTCCAAACCTATGTTTCAGCATTGTGTTCAACACTTTGTATGGACTGAGTGTGAAGTATTTGCTACAAGGTTTCTTCTGGGTGCTCTGAACAGATTCCTTGCACCAGTAAAGGTACTCTGTTATGTTAAAAGTGACAATTCCTAAGAAGAGAAAGGAAATATGTCACTGTCAGTTTGCTGTGCCCTGATTCGAGCAAAAGTCTAGTCAATAATGTAATGTAAGTATTGCTTTCTGCGACAGGCCTACTCCATTGAAGTTTGTCGACCTGACCAACAAGCTTTGGGTATATCAGTTGTAAGCTCCAACTCTACACATAAGCTCATAATAACACTTACTGCATATAACATAATTATTGACTACAATAGGCTCCTTTTGATCCATTTCATCTAATTTAATTGAGGTCAGCACAGCATGGGGAATGGGTGTTATAATTGGTCCGGCAATTGGGGCTATCTAGCACAGGTATGACTGACAAAGATCATTGTTTATCAACCATTTGGTTTACTTACTTTTCACCTGCTCTGTCTTCCTTCCTTATTACCAGCCTGTCAAACAATATCCACATCTGTTTCATGAGAAATCAGTGTTTGGAAGGTAGCATTCCTTTCGATCAAAATTAAATTCTTTTAACACTAAGTTGGAACAACCCTTTTTTTTTCATTTTATCTTCTTGTTCCAATACCATGCAGGTTCCCATATTTATTGCCATGTCTGTGTATACCATTTTTCGCTACCTTGGTTTTCATAAGCTGTGTATGCCGGTAAGTATAACCTGCTCTATATATCAGTGTATGTTTTCAAATTTATTGTTGTATTAATAATGTTTTCATGAAGGGTTTCTTTATGCATTTTATTAATTTTTTTGCGCATAAATATGTCTTGTTGTTGGCGCACTAAAATAGCCAAGTCCATGTGAATATGATATCCTACCTTATTAAATTACAGAAAATTCTGTTAGATAACTTTGCACTTTGATGTCGGCTTATTTTTACTTCATCAGCAACTAAACCAAACAGGAGATCCTACATAAGCACAAAGGCATTGAGAGAGCAGTTGAAAGGGTAGAAGGTACTACAACTCAAGAAAGTACAGAGCCACCTAAGAAGAGCTTACTCAAAAATTGGCCATCGATGTTAACATAATGTGTCTTCTCCCTTCATGACACCGCATACGTTGAGGTACCACCTGCCGACTCCAACAACTTCTACATTGAAATGAATTGTTCTAAAAGTTAGATAATGTTGCAATTCCACATCAGATATTTTCTGTATGGACCGTGAGTGACAGAAAATATGGTGGGCTTAGCTTTGCGTCTAAAGATGTGGGCCAAGTTCTTACAGTGGCAGGTAATTCCACTCCAACCAATTACTTTCCCAATTAACTTTAAAAAAATCCAAGGCATCCACTCGATCAGTTGCTTGTGTTTTATGGTTATAAAGTCTGTGCACTGTAGTAGTAAATGCAATTTCTGGATTGCCAATACTTATGCTCTGTTCAACTGTAGGTGCCAGTCTTCTAGTATATCAAATCTTTGCTTACCGTTGGATCGATAAAGTCCTTGGTCTAATCAATTCAACCTGAGTTTCGTCGGTGAGTTATTACAGTGACCATTATTATTGTTTGACATTTTGCAGTGTGTCCATTACTCATTGTTCCCTATTTTTCTGTTAAAATTGTTTGTAATTCTATCAATTGACCATAAGCATGGCAGGCACTATCTATACCAATAATTGCTGCTTATCCCTTCATGACATGCTTGTCACGAATAAGACGATGTGCCGCTCTACATCGCGGCAATGCTCAAAAGCGTTTTTGCAGTAGGTAGTTCATTATGAGTAAACTCTGAGATTGAACCCATAAAACACATCACCACTAAATGGTTACATACATACACTTCTGTATAGAATTAGAAATTCAGGACATGTGTTTTGGTTTGTGCCTTTGTGCTTCATTCAAACGTTCAGCTTTGCCTGCTTTGGGATACTAATGCTCGAGTATGTTGATCAGATCACTAGAGTACCGACACTTCACTTCTGCAAAACAATTCTGTGGTACATGACCACCTTATGCCAAGTTCTATCGATTATCATTTGACTCCCTACCAAGAACTGATCAATAATTGTTATCAGTGTTGATGTAATGATGTCAATGTGTAAAATAAACCTAACATTTGAATCGGATGCTATTTGCAGCCACAAGAACGAAGGGGCGCTGCAAACGCAATGTCTCTGCCCAAGGCTTTCGCTCCAGCTGGAGCAGGCGTACAAAAGCTAGCAGTGCTGCCTGACCGTCCTGTTATTCGTATGATGTTCATCGTGGTCTTTAAAATGTTGCTAGTTTAGTTTATCACATCGTGTGATAAGCATGAAAGCATGGGCCAGCCAGCCAGGACAAGCTTAGAGTATGTGCATGTACATATTTTTCGAACAAGAAACTCACTGATGAAATGCCTCTGGTTATAGGTTCTCATGGGCACAGAAGTGTCAGCATGCCGCCTTCTTTTCAGGTAAACCTTATATTTATGAAGTTTTGCAGCACTACCATCCTAATCGTTACAGTGTAATCTTACAAGTAGTTACTGCAATAAAACCATATAGAGGATGCGGATTTGAATGAAAGATTAAAAGGGGCTTTCGATTAATCCCTACATTTTGTTTTCATATATATGTACATGCAGGCGACCAGATGGTGTTCCTTCGCCTGAATCTGACAGAGGTCATCGGGCTCGTGCTTACCTTCAAGCCTTTCCTTGCGGTTCCCCAGCAGTACAAGCAATGAAAACATGCTGCATGCATATAGAGGTAACTAGCTAGTATGTGGGCGAGACGAGGGAGATGAACAAGTACATACATACACAAGACTGAAAACAGAGCCAGGTGTGCAACGGAATTCAGTTTGGAGTCCATCGTTTGATGAGGTTGACTTGTGTAATCGAAAAAAAAGGCTGTTTGTCTGCTTCGGTAAATGGGTCCCTGCCTCGTTGGAATGGAACTCTGTTGTTGGCTGTTAGTCTGGTTGTACACTTGTACTCCATAGTACCGGCTCCGTCATAAAATAGATTAACTTTTAGAGTTGTTTAAGTTAACTGTTTTAAATTTGATTAGTTTTAATATCATACCTATATCTATGGTATCAAATAAATATAGTATAAAATATATTTTCTGCTTATGATACTAATTTATTATCATTAGTATTAGTGTTTTTATTCTGTAAATTCAATCAAATTTAAGAAAAAAATAACTTAGAACAGTAGTAGAAACTATTTTCGTCTATTTGTCTCAAAATGGTATAGGAGCCGCTCTACCGACTTCAACTGCACACATGACACTTTTTTCTGCTACAGTGGTTGGACTTGGCAGACTGAGGTCGTCGTTAAAAAAAAGGACGTACCCAGTGCAGAGAGCTTTCGCTCTGTACGGGGTCTGGGAAATGATGTCAGTGACAAGTCTTACCCTTGCTTATGCAATACGAGGAGACTGCGATTTGAACCCGGGACCTTTCAATCACGGGCGATAAGACTCTACCGCTTGCACTAGGTCTGTCCTTCTAGACCTAGGTCGTTACAAGGAAGAAATACGGATTATGCTCGCGTAGAAGCAAGTTGAAGGCAAGGACATGCCTTTACTCTTCTGCTAATTATATATATATGACAGTGAGCCAGGGATGTCATATATATTCGCACAAAGAGAAGGTTATATAATTCATAATATAGTTTTTTTTTTGCGAATACATAATATAGTTTTTTTATAATGCATGGAAATAATTTCCGAACTCTTCCTCACAAAAGAGGAACAAATCGTGCTTATTAACTACAAAAGGAGTTTCACACTCTAATAACGTTCACAAGGCTCATACAACCACTTTTTTGCGAACCTGCTTTAGCATGTGTTTCATTAAGAAGAGAATTGCATGACGCAGCTACGAGAGAATCCGGTAGATTACAAACTACAAAGCTAGTGGTTAGCGATCTGGACTGACTCAATGGAACAAGCGAAAGAAGAGGCGATAGCTTAGGAAAAGGGCCCTCCCCCTTAGAAACCCTAACCGACTGGAACCATGAAAGGAAGATTACATCAATGCAATGGTTGCTAACAGAGGAGATGAAACTGTGGCAAATCATCCACTAAGAAGAGCCGAGACGAGCATCCGGCAATAATGGTGACAAAGCATCTGCCAGAGACGACCAGGGCCACCAAAGCGGCAAAGCATCCGCATGTGGAGGGGACATCACACTCTTGACAGCAAAGCATCTGCATAAACAGGGGAGATCGAAGCGACGTCGACAGCAAAGCATCTGATGAGTGATGACAACTATTAATACTTACCATTCAACAATAAGGCGCTCTTTGGTGGAGTTTCTATGGCTAAGAAACTCCACCAAAGAGGGCTTTGTTGTTGAATTTCAGCAAGTGATGTTGAAAGTATTAGAGGAGTGCCTTATTGTTGAATGTGCATATACTATGGCCGGCCCATAATAAAAAAAATGCAATTTGTTAACAATGACATCCATCATGACAAAAACCACAAATCTTTGGAGCTATGTATAAGTATACACATTTAAAATGGTTAATAAAAAAACTAAATTTGTGGGGTTTTTGATGATATGTGCAAATAATGTGTAAATAAAAAACCCCGACAGACTATAGAGGAGTAGTTGCA